TGGGTTTCCTCTGGGCACTGCGGGTTCCCCCACAGTCTAAACACATGCGCTATAGGGGAACTGAGGAACTAAACTGGTTGTTGTGTATGAGTGTGAATGCGAGAGTGTATGGGTGTTTCCCGGTACTGGGGTTGCAGCTGGAAGGGTAATCGCTGCGTATAACATGCTGGATAAGTTTGGCAGTTCATTCCACTGCGGTGACCCCTGATTAAAGCCAAAAGAAACCGAATGAATGAATGAATGATGTTTAGTTTTACACAATGAGTAAAGGTTTACATTCTTTTCTTCATAATGTGCTGAAGAATGTCTTGAATGTGGTTATTATTAATTTAACAAATTATAAAGTAATTTAGAATAAAAAAAAAAAGCACTGAAGCGTCACATTTAGGGAAACCTGTCTGTCAGGAGAGCTCATAAAGGGCCGCATTATTGCTGTTTTATTGATTACTAGTGAAAATCCTTCAACTTACTGAGTGTCAGACTGAATTATAATGATTATGGTATTTTTTTAATGATAGTGGAATGCTTTTATTATGAATTACATGTTTTAAAGAGCTGCAGAAAGCTGTAAATGGAAACGTCTGTGTGTGTTTTTCAGTTCAAAAGCCCAAAACAAATCATCATCGTGTTGCTCTCTGTGGACGTTTCTTACTCGCTGCAGTGTTTGATGAACTAATATTATTGCAAGTGATTTAAAAAAGGGCTCGAGTACAGAGAAATGTAGAATAACACGCAGACGCTGACAGTCTGAGTATTTCATGTGGTTCATCATCGGCCTCCAGAAACACACACAGATCTGCTGTTATTCTGAACTTCTGAACTCCTGTTCGCTAACGGCAGTGAACACACACACACACACACACACCGCATTACTGATCAACTGCTCACTGTTTACAAAACCTCTACTGTAACCTGATGACTATTGGATTACATTTGGATTACTTTTGAACTGCAAAGTTACTGATTACATGACAAGGTTTTTGGTCAGTAATATAATAGATTGCACATTTAGGGTAATGTAATCTGACTACTTTTGAATTATATTTAGATTACTTTTGAACTATACTAAATTAATTATTCTCTTAAATTACACATTTATGGTATCCTGACTACTTTTGGGTTACTTTTGAACTGTAAGACTACTTTTGGATTACATTTAGATTACTTTGGAACTCTCCTCAATGATTGATTACAGATTACATGACAACTTTTGGTCAGTAATATAATCTCTTAGATTGCATATTTATGGTAAACTGACTACTTTTGGATTACTTTTGAACTGTCTGACTACTTTTGGATTGCATTCGGATTTTAAACTGTAAAGTTACTGATTACATGACAAGATTTTTGGTCAGTAATATAGTCTATTAGATTACACACTTAGAGTAATGTAATCTGACTACTTTTGGAATAAATTTAGATTACTTTTAAACTGTACTCTGTTACTGATTACAGATTATATTTGATTTTTGGTCGGTAATATATTCTCTTAGATTACACATTTATGGTTATCTGACTATATTATTTTTGAACTGTCCTAAATGATTGATTACAGATTAGGTTGCAACTTTAGTTCAGTAATATATTCTCTTAGATTACACATTTATGGTTATGTAATCTGACTACTTTTGGATTACATTTAGATTACTTTTGAACTATACTAAGTTACTGGTTACAGATTACATTAGATTTTGGTCTGTAATATATTCTCCTAAATTACACATTCATTGTAATCTGACTACTTTTGGGTTACTTTTGAACTGTCTGACTTCTTTTGGATTACTTTTGGATTACATTTGAACTCCTCGATTGATTACAGGTTACATTGCAACCAGTTCAGTAATATATGCTCTTAGATTGCACATTTATGGTAATGTAATGTGACTACTTTTGGATTACATTTAGATTACTTTTGAACAATACTAAGTTACTGGTTACAAATTACATTAGATTATGGTCTGTAATTTGATCTCTTAGATTACACATTTATGGTAATCTGACTACTTTTGGATTACTTTTAGATTACTTTTGAACTGTACTCCTTTACTGATTACAGGTTACATGACAAGATTTTTGGTCGATAATATATTCTCTTAGATTACACATTTATGGTAATCTAACTACTTTTGAACTGTCTGACTACTTTTGGATTACATTTGGATTACTTTTGAACTGTCCTCAATGATTTATTACAGATTACATGACAATGTTTTTGGTCAGTAATACAATCTCTTAGATTACACATGTAAAGTAATGTAATCTGACTACTTTTGGATTATGTTTAGATTACTTTTGAACTGTAGAATCAATGCACTGTGTATAATTTACTGTCATTTTTTTCCAATAATATGTCATCTTGATATAATCCATAAAAGTAACTGTAGTCTGATTACGAGTATTTTAAAAAGTAGTTTAATTACAAGTAATTGATTTTTGGAGTCTGACATAATCCAGATAACAAAATCCATTCCTATTGTGAGAAAAGTGAATTGTGAACTTTGTCGATAATATATAATTATGATGTAATCCATGAAAGTAACTGTAATCTGATTAGTTTAATTACAGGTACTCGATTTTTGTAATCTGACGAGATAATCCATGTTATGTAGTCCAGCTCTTCTGCTTGTTCTGTTTTCAGCAGGTTTTCAGCTGGATGTGCTGATTGCTTGTGACAGTGGGTCTCTGAGCAGGAAATTCCTCAGGCTGTTTTCTCATGTATGTTTGCCGACGATCTTGATTTTGCAGGGCTGTGATTGATGCACACAATCTACATTATTTGCTTTACAAATGTACGACGCTCCGCTGGGAACAATATTGAAGAACTGGGAAAACTCGGCTGTCTGAAGAATTATTAAAAGTGTTGAGCTAGAAAAAACAGGTGGAGCTCCTTTTCTCTCTTCACGTCACACACACACACACACACTGAGAACTTCAGTGTGTACACTACAGTGATTATCTGAACCACACTATAGTATTATACTCTATATTATTGTATTTACTACTCTTAATGAATGCTCCAGCATACTGTAGTATTAACTAATAAACTACTGTACTATACTTTAGATTTTACTACAGTAAACTGTGGTGTATTGTAGTATAATATTCCCTAAAGTTGTAGAAAATTACAGTATTGGCTCATGGCTTTATTACTTAGATGTTGCCATAGCAACTGTAGAATCACCAGAGCAGATCAATTACTATAGTTGTGTTACCATAGCAACTGTAGAATCACCACAGCAGATCAATTACTATAGTTGTGTTACCATAGCAACTGTAGAATCACCACAGCAGATCAATTACTATAGTTGTGTTACCATGGCTATTGTAGAATTACATTAACAGATTAATTGAAGTACTCTAGTATGGTTCAAAAATACTATCTTTACTATAAATTACTACAGTAGTTTTTAATATGGGAAAGGAAAAAGTTTTCTGTTTTTAGTCATGTAACCTGTGCTTCTTAAACCTGTATGAAGTATTATAGTAAATAATATTGTGTTTTTGCACCATACTATAGTAAAACACTTTCAATATACTGTATATACATAATCTAAAAAGTGAGAGAAGTATCATTTAATTTAATTTTAAGTAAAACGGTACTTTTGTCTGGTGATCTAGTAAAAAACTACTTTTGTCTGGTGATCTAGTAAAAAAAACGTACTTTTGTCTGGTGATCTAGTAAAAATTAGTACTTTTGTCTGGTGATCTAGTAATAACACAGTACTTTTGTCTGGTGATCTAGTAAAAAAACAGTACTTTTGTCTGGTGATCTAGTAAAAAAACAGTACTTTTGTCTGGTGATCTAGTAAAAAACAGTACTTTTGTCTGGTGATCTAGTAAAAAAACAGTACTTTTGTCTGGTGATCTAGTAATAACACAGTACTTTTGTCTGGGGATCTGCTAAAAAACTACTTTTTTGGTGATCTAGTACAAAAAAATACTTGTCTGGTGATCTGGTAAAACACAATATTTTTGTCTGGTGATCTAGTGAAAAACAGTACTTTTGTCTGGTGATCGAGTAAAAAAAACAGTACTTTTGTCTGGTGAACTAGAAAAAAACTACTTTTGTCTGGTGATCTGGTAAAAATACAGTACTTTTGTCTGGTGATCTATTAAAAAAAACTGATTTTTCTAGTGATCTAGTAAAAATACAGTACTTTTGTCTGGTGATCTAGTAAAAAAACTGTACTTTTTTCTGGTGATCTAGTAAAAAAACTGTACTTTTGTCTGGTGATCTCGTAAAAAACAGTACTTTTGTCTGGTGATCTAGTAAAACACAGTACTTTTGTCTGGTGATCTAGTAAAAAACTAGCTTTGTCTGGTGATCTAGTAAAAATACAGTACTTTTGTCTGGTCATCTAGTAATAACACTGTACTTTTGTCTGGTGATCTAGTAAAAAACTACTTTTGTCTGGTGATCTAGTAAAAAACTACTTTTGTCTGGTGATCTAGTAAAAAAACAGTACTTTTGTTTGGTGATCTTGTAAAAAACAGTACTTTTGTCTGGTGATCTAGTAAAAAAAACAGTACTTTTGTCTGGGGATCTAATAAAAAAAACAGTACTTTTGTTTGGTGATCTTGTAAAAAAACAGTGCTTTTGTCTGGGGATCTAGTAAAAAAAACTGTACTCTTTGGTGATCTAGTAATAACAAAGTACTTTTGTCTGATGATCTACTAAAAACAGTACTTTTGTTTGGTGTTCTAGTAATAGCATAGTA